GCATGCCACACGTTATCGAGCTCATCTACAGATGTTCAGTGGGGCTCAAATTCAGCGTGTAGGACATCATTGGCATAACTGTCGCATTCTCGTCCCACAAGAAGGCCATTGATATACGAGCAGCAGGAAGATGTACATTGTCCTGCCGGAGTGCTGTCAAGTCAGGATGAGTTTCAAGCTCAGCAAGGCTGGCACTGGTCAGCTCTGGGCTGGAAGTCTTCTAAGAAAAGCTATCATATTGGTAATGGTGGGCCAGTTGGGGGACTGGAATTTCTAAACCAAAGTGCCAGTATGGTACTTTGTCCCCATTTGCTGTAGGAAGTGCCATCCTTCCAAACTACTCGGTCATTAAATATGCCATTGTACTTTTGGAAAGAGTAGGGGTACTTACTCTGGAGTCTGACAGGTAAACCTCCTTCATTTCCTACGTGGAAAATGTAATCCTCCTTAAATTCCTCTTTAATTCAATTGGTGAAGCAATTTCTCAATTTCTCACTGATCTGCAGTGCAGAAAGGCTGCCATGTGTCAGCAAGGTGCAGCTGCACTTCAGGAGTAGGTGAGGAGGGTCTCCTATGTGTAAAGCACTCTGGGATGAAGAGGGGGACTGCTAAATCCCTGTATGGGATTGTTTTTATTAAATTGGGTACTAGAATGTGATCAACATGGTGCTGAGCAGTCGCATGGTCCTTTCCTTTGATCTTGGAAATCTTGTGGCATGTGGTCTCCTGATATTCTTGAGCGCGCCCTGGCCTAGAATTGATGAGATTATAGATTTTGTGTCTTGCCAGATAAAACATTTCTGACAGTGATATCGTGGAACAGCAGTGAGCTGACCTAGTCTAGCCTCCAACGTGCCAGTGGAATGAAGGTGTTCAGTTCCTCATGACTGGGAGTCCCTCATTTCCTGAGTTCCCTCATCGCCTGTGCCAAATGATGTGATTCAGTGCTTTCGCAACATTTAAAGTCATTGGAGTGTGTGACAGTTAGTGATGAGGGGTCGTTTAATTAAAATGACCCCAGAAAACATTTCAGCAAAATCCAAAAGCTGCACAGTTTGTTTCTAAAGACACCCTTGCCTTTAAGAGTGTTCTTGCAAGTCCCGAGGAATGTATGTTTGGCTGCTGAATCAAGCCATTCCACAGTGGCCTGGATCCAGAACGCAGGTGCCGGTTTTTGGCCTGAAATTGCTCAAAATAAATGGCTCAACTGAAACCCCAGATGTTGAAATGTTTTTGTGAGCCCTTTCACAGCTTGTCAGTCAAAGCGTGCCGAAGTAACGTTCAGCAGTCTTGGAAAAGAGGCCCTGCTGTGGTCAAACAGAAACCATCGTCAGGGTGGTGAGGTCATGTGTCTGGCAGTAAGAACCAGGCTGCTGTTACATGACGTATTTTACGCCTGCAAATCCCAGAGGGCAAAGCTACTTGAATGCCCTTTGCTCAGGGAATGCAAATGAAAGACGTACGGTGGCTTGAAGAACTGCTTAGACACAGTGTGCAAAATAAACACGTGCTGTAGGAATTACAGTTAGTGGAATCTAAAGGATAAAATTCATGAAAGACTAGACTAGAACTGATTCTGACTTCTAACCAAGGTTACAGATATTGTAGGTATAGACCACTGGTGGGGCTACTGCTTTTTATGTATTTTGAAAAAACAGGAAAAAACAGCCTCCATTGGTTCCTTATTTATGGTTTATCTGTTGCAGGTAAAGCTATAAATGCTGCTGCAGGGTTACAAGCAGAAACCATGCTATTGTCCTGCAGAGAATAATGAATGATAGACAATACTCATTGAGAAATCAGTGTTTAATATGTTCTCTAATGCCAAAAAGTAGATTTCAATACTGTGCTCCAGTTGTCTGGCAAGATCAGATTACACAGGAGTGAGATGTGCTTGGGAGAGTGTGTACCAGGCACACATTTTGAATACCCCATGTACAGTGACTTTTGCAAATTTCCCAAAATGTTATTGGGCCACTGCAGTTTAGACAAGTGTTTTCCAGTGTGATTGAATTGGACAGGGGTTGAGGTGCATTAGTGTACTGGAGTGTACCACACTGGTCTGGTGTGTACTGCTTCCTGGGCAGCTTTCTGAGTAATGACACTGTGCAAACATACAACAGTTCTTTTGTTATTCTTGTCTTTTGGGTATTGTACTGAAGTACTGAAAAAGTTGCAATGACATACATGTTCAAGGTTCTATTTCCTTAACCAATTAAATGATCTATATTTTGTTATGGGAAGTGACTAAAATAAGTGCTACTGTATGCCTTGAAATTCTGCTTTTTAACTGAGGTGCATTGCCACACAGTTTGAACATTTTTTTTCTGTTAATAAAGTAAACAAATTCACTTATCAGGAGAAACAGATAACTGTATTGTAAAGTTCCGTGAGATTTATGTCACAGCAATATGGTCGTAGATTATTAATGTGTGAATATTTCAGTAGAAGGAGAAAATAGATCCTTTGAGAGGAGTGAGACTAGGAGAGCAGCATTTAAAATTGGTTTGTATATTCAAAACCTGTCTACGAACTGAACCAATTGCTGCTTTTGTTTTTAGATTGTTTTGTGGAGATCTAACAACCTAAAGACTATCTGGGAACCATGTGCTCTGAGATTTTATATTTCCCAGGTTATAAGAAAATGTTTGGCCTTCAGTGGCAGTGAAATGAAAAGATGAGACTTGCTCGTTGTTTAAAGGTAAGAGTCTTGTTGTTGGATTTGTAACAGTCTTGTTTATAGAGTGGTACAGTATGTCATTCCATGGAACATTTCTAAGGTTATTTTAAAGGAATATGAGCCTGACAAGAATTTGGAACTTCATAAAACTAAGAATGGTAGGCACTTCTTCAAACAAAAATAGTTGTGGGAGTTTGGAACAAATTGCCCAGCCATGTTGTTGAAAATGATACCCTGGCTTCCATCAAGAAACTGTCAGATTATATCCCGTGGTCAACTATCTGCAAACTACTTAACGGACTCGATGGTCCCCCTCTCATTTGTAGTTTTCTTATGCTGTGATTGCTGTGCGTTTATAGTCCCGTGTTTTATTCCTGTTGTCAGTCTTTTAAAAGGGCTTGTATCCCAGCTCCCAAGATTGCAGTTCAACCTCATCTTGTATCTGTAAGTCCTACTTGGTTACTTATGTTACTCAATGGAGGGTGGAAAAGGGCAGCATATGGGAAGCATTTTTCTGGTATTCCGAACAAAACCTCTGGCAGGGACCAGTGTGAATGGGCAGCTTTTGGAGATGGAGTGCAAAGCTGAAGGCTCAGCTGAGTCCATTGAGCAATGAGAAAATGAAACTATTGCTTCAGTATTCGAGCTGTGTGACAGAGCATCCATGCAGAATTGTGGCCCGGTTTGTTATTGTTATTTGACCAAAAGAGGTGCGTCACTTTACAGTCCAAGGCAAGAGGACAGGTTGGGGAGGGTACATTATACAAGCTTGGCCTTGTGTTTCAGACTCCTGCAGCACTTGTGATATGTAATCGTTTGACATTGGCGGTCAGAACTGTTCAACAAAAAGTCAAGAAGAGGTGAGAAATATTGGATATGTCGGCACACCCCAGAGAGAAACATCACCAGCAACAGCCGAATTACAGACCCATGTTCTGCCAAAACATTTTTGAAAAGTTAAATTTCTACAGCCCTGGGTTCAATTCATGAGTGCAGTCTGCATGGAGTTAGCGATGTTCTCCCTGAATTTGCGTGGGTTTCCTCAGGTGCTCCAGTTTCCTCCCACAGTCCAAAGACATACTGTTAGGTTAAATGGCTTCTGTAAAATTGGCCCTTTTGTAAGTGTGTGCCATGCAATGGATTGGCATCCCATCCAGAGTGTATCGCACCTTGTAGGATAGGTTCTGGGCCACTGTGTCTCTGAATTATATTAGCAGTTATTCAAAGTGATATGACAATGACATTTATAGAAGGGACCAGAATGTGGAAGAATTTTGGAGTTAGTACAGTAAAAATAGTTTTATTTTTGGATGCCTTTCAAAAAGCTCAAAGCACATAGAAGCAAATTAACTCCAAACTTCTGTAACAGAAGCAAAATAAAAGGAATTGAAAGAAAAAAAGATCAGATATGCATATAGGTCTGACAGCTGTTTCATTGTTCATTTTTATTTTTGTTTGGCTGTAAACTGTCACTATGGGAATTGGTGTTATTGCCATCAATTTTAGTCTTGGTTTAGGGTTGACATTGAACAGCTTGTCTGCTCTGAGCATGCACTGGATTGAAAATGGTACACAGAAGTTTGGTAGGAATAAGAAGCCACAAGAAAAACACTCTGAGCTACATTAAACAGAGTTTTGTTCTGTCTTTCACCAAAGTAGCCAAATTTTTTAAATTCCCTAATCAGCTTATTAGGTCTGGAGCCATGTGGATAGTCCTAACTTCAAATGCTTGTAGGCTGGAAATGCCCTCATCACAGGGACTGAATGTGGCTCTGCTTACATGCTTGTTGGGATGGTGACGCATTGAGTGAATCCTAAACTTTCTTCACTGGGCAATCCTCAAAATAGGCATCATTGACATGATGTTCTACAGGTGTTTCCATGGCATCGGTGCAAAATAAAATAGAATTATGTAATATTAGCAGGACAATACAGTACAGTACGATACAATACAAAGTGGTACAATAAAACACATCAGGTTACAGTGCTGTCTGGTGCAATACAATACAGTGGTTCTCTCCCTCCTGTGCAAATATAACCCTCCTCACTCTATTATGCAGTTCTGACTGGAGTCCACCTTTTTCATCAAGAAGAAGCTGAAGTCCGTAATGGTTCCTCCACTGTCCCTCAGGCTGTGGCAGGCACACACTAAGGACAGCACTCAACCTGCAGAGCCAGAGAATCAGAGAAGTGCAGGAACTGTTTATGGCTCAGGATTTAGGGTGTTTCTCTTGTTTCCATCCGAAATGGAAACCCAAAACGTTAAAAGGCTGGCAGCTCTCCTGAGTTCCCTACGCATGACGTCTTTCCTGCTTTACAGATCGAAGAAGGTGGGAAGGCCGCGCTGTGCAAGAAGCTGCGTGTGGGAGACGAGCTGGTGAATATCAACGGCTCGGCACTGTACGGATCCAGGCAGGAGGCCCTCATCCTCATCAAGGGCTCTTACAGGATCCTCAAGATGGTGGTTCGCAGGTAAACCTTCCCACTGTCCCTGGAAATAAAATACCTTGGTGTGGGTCGGGGGAAGATGAATCCACTGTTGCCCTCTGCCTCTCCTTGCAGTGTGTCTTTGTTCTGCACTGCTACACATCTGTGAAGGAGAGTAACCCTAGCGTTACTCAGAAGGTTACTTGGCTCAGAAGGTTTCATTTTTCGCTCTACAGTGACGGCTTGTGGCAATTATTAGAATTGCAGCCATGCAATGCA